GCTTTCCTACTCTCTACTTAGCCATATTCTCTTCTGCTTCATCCATTTAGAGACCCAAATAGGCTTTGAAAGTTCAAACCGTTAGGATTAGGAGCCATTGTTTCAAAACTGGCAAAATGTGTTTAATACGGTTGGTGCCAGGTTTAGTCATTTAATTGTTGTGTTTTGTAATCTTGTTACATTCATTTTCATTCTGGACATTTCACTTACTTTTTTTAATAAGCGTCCTGTGGGGCTGTGCTTAAAAGCAAAGTTTCTTTTGAATTGACCTCTACACTTCATGGCTTCATGGATACAACCATGGTGACAATGTCATGGCAGCCAATGGAAACAAAATGAAATTGGTTTGCCATTGCCTTTTTCCATTTTTTTATACCTCACTCTATCCCAGTGTTTCTCCACCTTAGCAACTTTAAAATATGTGGACTTCAACTCCTAGAATTCCCCAGCCAGCATGGGGAATTCTGGGAGTTGAGGTCCACATATCTTAAAATTGCCAGGGTTGAGAAACACTCCTCTAGCCAACAACCTTGATACTTCTGGGTAATTACCTATCCTAGTACTAACTCTCTCTGACCCTGCTTAGCTTTTTAAGGTCAGCCAAGAACAGGAACTCATTGCAACAGTCCGAATAGGAAGCTACTCAAGTGTGGATAAAGGCACCTGGCTTGCCTTTCTCGAAGGAGGCCATAAGAGGTTCAGTAGCCTTTGCTGCTAGAACAGTGTTTCTTAACCCCAGCAACTTTTAAGATGTCAGGACTTCCACTCTCAAAATTCTCCAGGCAGCATGCTGGCTGGGGAATTCTGGGAGTGGGTCCACATATCTTAAAGTTGTTGAGGTTGAGGAACACTGTGCTAGAAGGTGCTCTGGATCACGGAGATGGGCTTCCAGATATATGACCTGACTCTTCTAAGACTACAGCCTTTGTTCTTGGCATGTTGCTTTGGCTCATTTTGTGAAATGTTTCATTTTTGCTATAATTCTCATTACATTTTCCTTAAACTGTACTTGCTTTTACTTTCTGCTGGGCAGGAAAGGAATCTTTTTGTCCAGTGTGAGGGGTAATAAATACATTCATTTTTTCTTTCATTCTTTCTCTCTTTTCATTAACGTTGCTTTTCCTTTCTTCATATTCTCTTCTCCTTTCCTTCACATTCTTTCTTTCTTCTCCTTCTCCTTTTTCCGCCTCCTCCTTCCATACTTGTTCCACTCTTCTTTCCTTTCCTTTCCTTCCTCTTCCTCCCTCCCTTTCAACTGATGCATGGAAGCATAATCTCTTCCTTGGCCTTTTTCTTCCACCCTCGAGGTTTTTGTTCACTTTCCCAAGGACCAAAAGAACAACAGTGATCGCCTTGCAGAAACACCTCCTGAGGACACCATTGCCAGCTCTCGGAGAAGAACCCTGACTCCTTAAAAAATAGAAACCTGCAAAAGAGTAGGGTCTGAGCAAATGGCTCAGCGGTAGAGAATCTTGTTGCCAGTGTAGTGGAGGCACTTCCGTATGCTCTAAAGCTGAATTTTTGTCAGCCGGATCAAATCCTCTTCTTTCCCAAGGAAATGAATGTAAGAACGGAGGCTTCTGTAACACGTAAAGGATTCTAGAGGCAGATAATCCTCTAGAATGTTAACCTCTCCCAATGTAAATCTAATGATCTAAAGAAGATTGCCTACCTCTAGGATGAAGGAGAATCTTTGCAAACACTGTCTAAGATGCAGCCTTGCAGCCTTTTAGTCAGCATGGGTGCTTTTGACACAAGAAATCTTGGGAACTGCAAAAGAAGGAATACCTTGTCTTTTTTTGCTTGGAGAACATTCCAGGTTTTCACCAGAATGGTAATATCCAAAGCTTGCAAACATCATCCTGTTTGAGTTCAAAACAATATTAAGACTGCAGTAGAGCTGCCTCCACCTTCTTCAGACCAGGCTAGGCATTTCTTCCTAGGCAGATGATGCTGGATTTGTGCTGGGGCAAATACTCAAAACTGAATGCGATGGATTATCTCTCCCAGGCATCCCCTCGTGGAATGGGGAGCGTGAGAGCACGTGTGTGCTGCAGTCAGCGGCTGAGTTTATTTCTCCCCTTTCAATTTTGGCTGAGAAAGTTGCCTGGGCGTAGCTATCAAGCCGACAACCGGGGGCACGTGTTTGAATTCTGCCACTGCCTCAAGACGTTCTCCTGGCGAATCCAGGAGGAAAACAGTGAAGATAATTGCAGTGAAGCTCCTGAGTGAAACTCAACTACTGTATATTGTTTAAGATTTTTGGTAGGAAAAAAAAGAACCATATTCTATCAGTGATGACACTACCCTGGAATTTTGCACATATAAGTTCCTCCTTTTTGCTGTTGAGAGCATATAATTTTACTTGCATTGCCCGTCTTATACTCCTTACTAACAGGCCCCATTGGAGGCATTTATTTATTCGTCAAGGCTTTACACCCTTTTGATCACTGCAAATCTCAACAGCTTACAAGCTAGGAAATGCCGCAGAACGATCTGCGCATACTACACGATCGCCATAAAGTCAGCACAAAAGAACAACCAACTGGAAGAAAAATGAATTAATGCATATTACTAGCACCCCAATTATCCCAGGTACAACCATGTAACCCCCACCTTGGTCTTTAAGTGCTGTTTGGAAGAGCTGTGTTTTTAAAAGCTTAACGAGCAGCAAGCAAGGAGGCAGATCTTGTATCTGGTGTGAGGGGTTTCTGTGAGAGGGGAGCTCCTGCAGAAGATGCCTACTGGACCTGTACAAGTCCCTCCTTGCTGTTATCTTGCAAGGTGGAGAGAACTCTTAACATTCTTTGCAAGCATTCCTTGGGCAGACAGAGTTGAGATGGTGGGAAGGGCCTCAAAGATTATTCTGGATAAAATCCTTCCATGCCAGTGTTTCTCAACATTGGCAGCTTGAAGATGTGTGGACTTCAACTCCCAGAATTCCCCAG